AATCTCTGCCACAATTATCCCCAAAGGTACCATATATTTAATGTTTCTGGCAGCCCTCTTTTCCCCACAGTGTCAAATGAAAAGGAATATTAGTGTTCCGAGCTATTAGGAGAGCAGTGAGTGGTTGACAGTGTAGAACTCAAGAGAGCAGACTGGCAATCTCAAACGCTTTGATATTTTTAGGTTTGCAGATGAAGTTTATATTTTGAGAACAGTCCTCTCATCAGGTACAAAATAAATATGTTTTCTGCAATAACAAGCAGAATTTAATAAAGAAAAAAAACTACAAATGTTATGGCTTTTGCTCTATTTTAGGATAACAAAATAAATTTTAATTGTGGAATATTGTTAGTGGTCATCAGATAAATCACAAAAATAATTAATAATTTGTAAATTATGCGAAGAAATAATAATAAAAATCAAATTACAAACACTAATTTAAAATATATATTTGAATGTGACTCTAGTTAGATTCCATTCTATGTTTAAAGGTTAAAAGGTTATGTTTTTTATGCGCCTTAATTGAATAATCTGATCATTGTTGTTGTTGGCACAAAAACCTCCAACAGTTCCTACATCTGCTCCTGTTTGGCCTCTTTAGTCCTATCATAAATGCTTGTTTACCCCTCTGCCCTGTCAAAAATGAATTACACCTGTCTGCAAAAGCTTCTTCATTTAGATAATTTTATACCACCTTTATTAAAGTGACTCAAACAGATCTCAAACTATAATAATAGTACTATGACCTGTAAAAGGACTTGACTCTGCAGATCCATTTCTTGAGATTAATGTTTGTTTTTCTGTATTGATTGTTTTTAAAGCTCTGAAGAATAATTGTCTGCAACTCTCTAAAGAATGGCAAAGTTTAAGAAATAAATCAGTTCCTGAAAGTAAACGTTGTTTGATAGTTAAAATGTTAAACAAATTTGCACTACAGATTTGCAGGTACAGTAAGCATGTGCAACATAATACTCTAAGGCAGCTTTTGATACAGCAACTTTTGATACATTCAAATATTTACAAAAAAAATGGAGGCACATCAGGTTAAAGTTTCATCTACACAGAGGATTGAACAAAAGTGAGAAGTGATGCTAAACACCTTGTCACAGATGAGGGTAAATGTACTTTTATCAAAATAAAATAAATCTAAATTTCTACCTCTAAACTAACAACAGCAGTCCCACAGACGCTCTTGTTTTGGGTACTTTAAATCCCAAGAGCTGGTTTCATATTCCCTGGTCCTTCTGGTTTTCTCACCAGAGGATAAACAATGCCACTGCCAGTTTCTGTGTGTGTTGTGTGAAAGGAGAAGTAGAAGGGATGTGCTCCACTCTCTGCAGCAGATGTTGAGGGAATGGGGGACTAAAATACCAGCGAGGCAAACACATTGAATCAAGTGATTGATGGAGTTTCTGGGAACAGAGTTATGGGTATGCTGCAGCTAAATTTCCCATGTGGTGTAATGACACACAGGTAGACAGATAAACCTCTTTTCAGTTGCATTAAAGACTCCATAATCAAATGCACATAAAAACATTGTACTTCACTTGTCTTTAATTCCATGCTCTCACAAATATATACAGAAAGTACTATCTGCTAATTCTGTCGGACAGTATCCTAAAGCTATTGACCAACCATTAGCAATGTAAGGAATTTGAAGCAGTAACAATGATACTTCATCATTTATAGCATCATCAGAACAGAACACACTGTGTGCAGCTATAGGAGTGACATTTTGGTCTTGTAGTTAAATCAAACATTTATTAAATGTAAAAAATAAAAATAAAAATAGAAATAAATTGTTCCAATGCATTTTATTGATATTAACCATCTTAAAACAGATATAAAAATACATTTTAAAAGTTAAAACAGGTGCAGTTCATATAAGATAATCTTGAATCTAGTTTAGTCTTAATCCAGTACATAATGTGATCTTAACCAGTCATTTAAACAGATTAAATCTAGTTAAAGGGAAATTATGATAAGGTGTAAACAAATCAAGAAATTAAATGTTTTTTTTTTTTTACAAGTTATCTTTGTAAGATACCCAGCAGATTGCAAAGATGTATTGGTTTTGTGGTGATCCTTTATCTTGAGCAATGGCAGTGGAGAGTATCCATTTCCTTAACATGGAAAGAAACCATCAGGACAGGGCTCAACATTTACAGCTGTCTACCTTGATCAGCTGGGATTAATAAAACATGACGAAAACACATCAAGGAATATATAGGAGTATTTTGATGAGAGAGGAAAACAAAGAGTAGTCTAATTTTAAGCGAAAGATTAGCCACTTCCTTCATACCGGAGGGAAACCAAGATTAATAAAGAAATACAGAGCCATGAGAGAAAAATTAGGGGACTCATATCTAACAGCAACAATAACTCTGGCAGTGATTCTGTCCAGGAAGGAAACATAGCTTAACATGAAGGCACTGGGTAGCAGTAGTCGTTCTTCAATTGAAGAAATTAGGGAAGTACATATATGATTAAACTGAATAAATTACAATATTTTTGAAAAGTTCATTAGTTTCAGTGAGCAAGTTTACTAAGTAAAAGGTATTATCTAGACTACCGACACAGAAAATTATTTTCTCAAGCCTTTATTTTAGGTTATTGTGAGGATTTTCCATTTACACTAAATGACATCTAAAATGTTACTATTAAAAACAGTAACTGAAAAACTGCTTTATCCCAGAAATGTTGGCTAAATTAAAAATATCTTTCTTTCTTTCTTAAGGGTTATACTTGTAAATGGTACTTCACATCTCATATGTACACAAGTTACCATGGCGGCACATTCCCCCCCCACTTGAAGCCAAACCATCTTTGTGAAACAGACAAAACCTGCAAGTTTTCCAAGCTTTGAAGAAGTTGCGAAGCTAGTAGCTGTTAGACTATGCATGCACATTATAATAATAACTAGTTTTTATTTTTTACAGTTTTAACAAAGTGAAGGACAAATCTAAGCTGTCTCTTCATTAAACTTAAAGGTCATCGCTACAAGTTTAATTCCTCCCGGGCTTTAAGTGTCGCAATCATGTTCATCTGTTCTCATTCCATACTGTTTGCCACGTGGTTGCTTGGATCAGGTAATGCTAATGTTAACCTTTGGTTGGAATAAGCATACATTTAACTTACCTGTTAAGAAGAGACCTCTGCAAGGCTTTTTAGCCCCTTTGCTTTTTTAAGTTTGCACCACCGAGCAAAAGCTTGACCAATATTTGCTGCTTTGTTTTTGGGCTTGAATCTGAGTAATGTAATGCAGATAAAAAGCCATTTCTCAGTTTTATCTTGGAGCTACTGGAATCTGGCAACGTCTGAACTCCATGTCATGCGTGCTCAACCTACTATTCCTCATGGTACAAAATCCTTTTGTTTTGAGGCATCATACAAAAACTTAAATATCTATATATTTTGGATCTATATTTTGAACTATTACTTATATACCATAAAATATTTGTATTACTTGTAATACTTTTACTCTGAACTGTTATAGATGTTTAGTTTTTGCATTTTTTTTTTTGAAAAATGTATCTTTTTGATTGAAACAGTTGTGGCTACAACCTTTAACCAATCAATATACAGTAGAAAAAGATAAAGCAGCAATAGCTCTGTTAACAGTTTTATCAAGGATATTCTATTACTGTTCTTATAAGACAAGATATTGCCAAAGAGCAGACAAACACACTGCTGCAACAGATAAAATCACATAAGCCAACACACACATACACCAAGTGTACTTCAATGAAGAACCGCTAATTCATGAACCAGTGATGTGGACAAATTTAATCCAGTAATGTGACTTTCTATTTGTGACATGCATGACCTCAAGAAGCCTAAACAGCCAGATTTTCTGAGAAAGATCTCTAGTGGGAAAGAGAAAGTAGGCAATTGAGGAAAAAAAGAAACATGATTAAATGTATTCAGTGTAGAGTCAGAACAATAGTGCAGGTCACTGGCTCAAGCAATTCACTGACTTAACTGGAAAGGACTTTTTGTTCCCAGAAGCAAAGAAGCACACCACAATTATTCATTTAATAGAATTCCTTATATTTTGCTCATATTTGGTGTTTTACAGCTTAGAAGCTGACCGGATTTAGGCTGCAAGTCTCGCTGCTATGAACTGGAATAAAACATACAGTTCCTGTAATGATTCCGTATTGGATTTTCTGTAGATCTGTATGGGAAATATTCATTTTTCTCTGTGGAATTTTAGAAGCATGACAAAACATCTCTGTTTAAATCTTCCATTAGAAGCCTTTGCTTGCTAATGACAGTAAAAAAAAAAAAAAAAAAAAACAGAAAAAAAAAACTCTTGTCAAATAGCTTAATTTTGTTCAAATGACTAAATAAGTAATGGACAGATTTGCTGAAATTTTCGAAGGTGTGTATTGTTACTGGCAACAAATTATTACATTTTGGTGATGATCTAGATCACCATCTGCATCAAGAACTTTTTGAAATATTCTATGAATACTGGTATTAACTAAAGGTGAAAGTCACAATATGTCAGCGAAAATTACCTAGCTGGCAGAGGTCTTTGCTCTCCAATGCTTTCCTAGTTTAGAAAAGTTATTTGCCTGGGTAAGATTGTGTTGCACTGTAATTTATGTGCTTTTCTTTTTGCCTTTAGCACATTTTTAATTTCCTATTAATTAGTCTGTTTAATATTGGAATTTTGCCATTCTGAGGTGAAAGATGTTGTCTTTATCACTAAGAACTTTTGACCAGAATCTATTGAAGTCCTGATACATTTTTCCAGGAGAATTATGCTACAAATCCCCTAATTGGGTGGACAGTCATTGTTGAACTCTTTGTTCAGAACAATGAAAGAAACAAGACTTTTTGATAAAAGATAAAGACAATGTTAGACAGATAAAAGCTATCTGTAGGAGTTTATAAAAATGAAACATTAAGATTGAAATTTTCAAATAATTTCACTATTGTTTAATCTAGTGAATCCTTTGAATTATAATCCCTGTTTTCTTTGTTTCATTTAGGTGGGTTGTGCATATCACAGTCAGTGAAAATTCCCCGTGAACCAAGAATAGGAGAGTTCGACAAGATCATTCACAGGCTGAGTGAGAACCCCAACGCTCGAGTGGTCATTATCTTTGCTAATGAGGATGACATCAGGTGAGCAAAGTGAAGGGTAAAAGCCAATGCCGTTTTGATTAACATGATGATTTCCTTCTTATAATTTAGCCATTTTGGGATACTTGCTGTATTGTGCTGCATTCAAAATCAGCTATGTAAAACTGGCATAATGAATTCCCCAACTCAAATTATAAGGTAAAATATATATAGATGAGGTAGTCCCAGACTTTGCTATTAAGCTTTTGTTTCTGCTAGTTATTATATTTCACCTACAACAAATGAGAACAAATTTAAGATTAGTTTGTTATCAATCCAGTAAAAAAACACTTTGGATACAAAAATATGGAATTTATATTTTCTGAAATATTATTTTCAAAAAGGTACTTGTAACTGACAACCAAGCCTTGAGAATACATTTATGCAAAACTGTATTCTAGCCATGCAATTAAAGTCACTCTATTTCTGAATACTTTTGTTTTGATTAGCATGTTTTTCTTTTTAGAATATAATCTGTCTTTTATTCCATTTATGATTTTTATCTCCATTTTGGTAGCTATAGTTCTCAACCCTTAGTTGGTACAGTAAGTCTACTGTATAATCTTACTGTACCTATATAGACAAAAGCAAAGCTCATGCTGTTTTTTTTTCAGTTTTGGGGCATACATATTTGTTGTATTATCAGTTGGTATCAAAGGGGGGTTCACAGGAGGAAACTGTCAGTTTACCTCCAGACTGCATCCATATCATAGGGTGAGCGAGAAGGTGAGTGTGATGGATCCTCCCAGCATTCACGACCAACAAACTTCCTAGCAGACATGATGCTGAATCTGCTGCGACTGCAAACCCTCTTTCTTTATTTTTATTTATTCTTTTTTATTTGGATGGGCAGTAAACAGCAGCTAGGTTAATACTGCGATCAAAGGAATCATTTTATCCAGGGCACATTGCTAACCTCCGGACACTGGCTTGTGCACCATTTCACAGGCATGACGCTGCCATGCGTTGTGCATAAGTTAGGCTGTCGTTGGACATACACTCTGGACACGTTATGAATACGCTATGCATTCGCCCAAAATAAAAAAAAATACTTAGAAAATTCAGCGTATGCCAGCGTTTTAGAAGATTCTGGGACAACAGGCATACACTGGCTAAATCGGCAAGGTGTGACAGGTTCCCTTATAGCATACAGTCAGGAGGTCTTTTAATATGTTTTTTAAACTGGGGAGTTACTAGGATAGTTTAGATGATTTGTGGGTCAGAGGTCCCTGTGCTCACTGTCTTAAACCGATCCTGGTTAGGGGATAATAGACAGGATATATAGTATTTATAAAAAATGAGGGTGATTACGGTGCTTCTTGATTGCATGACTATTCTAACCTTGGGCACTGAGGTAATTCAAGTTTCCAAACAGAGAAAGAAAAAAACAGCTACATTATAAAATTTGCATAAAAATGCATACTGAACAGAATCAGCATATTAGAAAAAGTAATATAAACTGAAATCTGGTCATTTCATTTTATGATAAAAATTCCTGTAAAAAAGACAGCTTTTCTTGTTAGTGTAATATTAAATTAGAAACTACATTTATCTATTTTTAGGCCAATAATGGGAGTCACTGCTCAGGCTCAGAAGCAGCAACAAAAGGATGGAAGAAGGTGCATAATCAACTGTTTAGACAGTTTATTTAAAGAAAATGAAGTAAATGGTAATGAATACTTGAAGCTGGGTTCCTGTTTGAACCAGGAGCTTTTATGTAGAACTCAGCCTCCAACTGTTGAAGCATCTGTGGAAAAAGTCACTCTGGGGCAGGATATGAGTCAGCAACCAAATCTGCCACACCTCCACATGCTACCCCTCTTTAAGTGCCTGAATTGATTACAAAACACCTTTGATGAAGAACAGAGGCAAAAAGGCAGGAAAGGCAGTGAATTCAAAACCCGCAGACAGAAAACATTGAGAAATGTAATGCCACAAAGAAGCTAAGGTAGCCATTGCAGTGCCAAATATATTAAACCTTCTGCTCTCACAGTACTGGACAAGGTGGCTGTGTGTTCAGTCTCTATTAGGGAAAAAAATTAATATTTTTACTTTAAATATTGTGTTTTTTAAATTTTTTGCTCAGGTGATTTTGTGTCTTTTGGTGATAATGATGGTAGAAAGCCTGTGACAATTTTTAAAGAGCCACTCCTTCGTTTATTAAAGCTTTAAGCACAGTCAGGCTTGCAGCATATAAGAACCAAAGAGCTTTAGAAAGTTTCAACAAACTCAAAGTCACTGTTTTGCTCCTGTTATTTTGAGTTTTGTAAAGATTAGAAAGAAGGGTTGTTGTCATTTCCTCTGGCACCTAGAGGATTTTCAGGAGAGTACGAGTTTCAGTCTATACACTTTAGTCTTGTCATAATGGGTTTTGGATTCAAGCCCATATGCAGAACACAACCAGGAGGCAGGGAAAAAGTTCAAAGGTTTAATGAATAGAGCATACAAAACAGGTCAGGTGGGTAATCAGGTCCAGGGACTGGTCTCGACTGGGTTCTCTGTTCAGAGGTTCTGAGCTGAGCAGGGAGAAGGGAGGAGCTAGGAGGGCTCAGAGGCTAATGGCAGGCTGAGGACTGAAGTTTGAGCTGAGCAGGCAGAAGGAGGGAACCAGGAGGGTTCAGAGGCTCACGGCAGGCAGAGAGCTGAGGTTTGGTTCTCCAGGGTTGGGTTCAGAGGCAGATGGCAGGCTGAGGGCTGAGCAACGGCAGGGCTCGACTTCAGACTTATCAGTGTTCTGATCCAGAGTTTCTTCCAATCCACTTCTTGAGGACGGGCTGGCAGGTTCAGACAGTAGATTCTTTAGATGAGCTCCTGAGAGTCGGCAGGCAGATTTCAGCAGAGAAACTCTTCCAGAGTTCCAGGGTTCAGTCAGATTTCTTCCGTGACTAACTAACACTCTGGCAACGGAGTGTGGTCCTCAGCCCACTTAAATACTGGTCTCCTGATGAGCAGATGAAGAACAGCTGGTGAAGTCAGCTCCAGCCTCAGGAGATCCCATACGCCCTCTGGTGGAGAAAGGGTAGACAGAAAACCCCAGATCCCAACAGTGACAGAAAATCCCCAGGAAGCGATCCTCGGCGCCCTCTGGTGGGCAAGCCTCAGGATCCCAACAAGTCTCTGGATACAGGCCAGATGAAGAACTACCAATGTCCAGTTGTTTGGTAGTACTTTATGACATTTGTGCTTCAGATGAACCTCCAGGTAATTTGTAGGATTTATGTAAATGGCTTTCATCAGTTCCCCTACATGGGGGATTAGTTGGTTAAACTAAAACTAGCTAAAGCTCTGGGTTAATTACTCCATAGCAACAAAAAGAGGGTAGGGCATGCAAAATAACTATGTATAATATT